GGCGCGGAGCTGAGCCCGCGCGCAGGGGAATCCCGGACCGGCTCCGCGCTTCGCCCGCGGCTGCCCAGCAGTTCCGGGTCAGGGCGGCCCGTGGAGCTCACACCTCGCGGCCCCGAGGGCGGGAAGAGGAACCAGGGGCGCGGAAGGGCCCCTCAGGATCGGGGGAGTCTGTGGACAGCCAGGGCCGGGAGAGGGAGAAGGACACCCCGAGGAGGCGACCGGGACGGAAGTGCAGGCAGGCGGGTGCTAGAGGGCGAGGTAGCCGGGCCGAGAGGGGCGCGGGGCGGGGCGCGGGGCGGCGCGCGTGGCCCGGGAGTCAGACCCCTGCAGCTGCGGGGTGTAGGGTGAGCTGGTGAGGTCAGAGAGGTTTAGTCGGAGCCACCCAAACTCATCCATTAGCATTGCGTCATTGCCTCACTAGAACTTCCAGTAAAGAACCTCCTTGGAGGAATTTGTTTTGTTTTGAGTTGGTTATTGTTTACCTTTCTGCCAATTGATCCTTTCTTCCTTTCTTGTGGACAGGACCAACACTTTACTGCATTTTGACTGCTACTGACAAACAACATTTCCTTTATTCCCTTTTGAAATACCATTAGTAGGAAAAATTGGCGATTGGAACCCCGGCAGGTCCCTGGGAGAATGGCCTGGCCATCTGCTTTCAATAAAAAATGTGAAAACCAGCTGCCTTGTCAGGGAATGCTGATGGCTGATTAATAAAGAGTAATGTCAACTTAAAGGCAGACGATTCGAATCCACCAGCTGCTTCACAGGAGAATGATGGATAGGCTCCTCCCGTAAGATTTAATGTCTCTGAAACGCTGCCGTATATCTTAGAATGGTGGTAACTACAAGTGCGTACTCGAAGAATATAAAAATAGTTTAAAAATACTGCGCAATTTGCTGTATGAAAGTTGGGTACTCTATTCAAAAGGGAGGAAATACCAAGTTTTGGAAGAGTAGGAGAAAGGATTCTCTCCATGGACTGGTTTTAATGGACGGAGATAATCCATTTCTTTTTACTATTGTTAAGGTGGTAAACGCTGAGAACTTTCACCTAGAAGAGGAAGAAGCTGGAGAACTGATAGCTGAGAAGAGCACTTGGAGGACAGGTTTTTCCATTTGCCTAGTGAGTAGGATCGTCCACCTCGAATAGAAACCCACTTTCATTATTCCTGACACAGGTTATTTCAAGATAGGTATCTTCAGTATTGTTGTGGGACATAGGTAAAGAATCCTGAGTGGTAGGTAACTCGTAACCCTCCTGCACAGAAAAGGTACATTTTCTATCCTAAACGTACTTTATATTAAATATGACCTCAAGAAGTAGGGAAGTCTTTTTGCTAAAAAGAGATTGAGAATATGTATCTTGCTTTTATAGGCAATTACGAAAATTCCTCTTTTGTGCAACAGTGGTGGCAATGAAAAACAGAGGGACGGGGAGCAAAAAACTATCTCAAAATAGTACGCTGCTTACATTTCAATTCCTTTCACCATCTGGTCAGAGGTACTATTAAGACTCCTACCCATCCCCCCTCGCCCCACTCCAGTGGCTGCAGATGCTAGGAGCACAACCCAGCAATTAACTTTTTTAGCAATAAACACAGAGTCCCCACCCCAGGTACATAATGAGCCAGAATCTCCCAGAGCCCTGCCTGGGCATGTTTTGTTCTTTTGTTTGTTTCAAGCTCTACTGATGATTCAGATGGGTTTGAACAAAGTCAGTGCCCCGTTCCGAAGCCATCTGAGTAAAAAGAAAATGTCACACTTAGAACATCCATCTCTTCATAAAACCAAATCAGAACCACGACTGCCATCAAGTTGATCCTGATCCTCATTCATATCTTCTTAAGGGTGTAAATCTTTAGGGAGGAAGCTGCTCTGCTTTGTCTTGCGGTGCAGTTGGTGAATTTGAACTGCTGACTTTAGCAGCCCAGAAAGGATCACTCTGTATTATTGAGGCACCTTATCTAAAACTCCCTAGGCATAATAGCTGCTTTAGCATTTCATGAATACAGAGTAAGTATTTTCATAGGTGCAGTCTGAACCCATATCCAGTCAATAAATATGTCAGTTAGACACTTCATAAGGAAGAATTATAAATATGTTGGTCTTAGTGAACATGAAACCAGGTTTCTCCAAAATCCTAAGATTTTGAAGTTCTGTCTCACATACTTCGGGCGTGTGGCCAGGAAGGACAGCGCAGGAGAGGAATACTCCGGATGAGATGTATTGATAGAGTAACTAGGACATTGGGGGTAGGTGTGGTGGGGTCAGAGAGACTGGCTCAGAATGGGGCAGGCTTCAGAGCTCCTGTACACAGGGTCGCTATTAGTCACAGATGAATGGATGGCACCTAACAAGGAAAAATTGTGTGTTTATAAATTGTACTGTCATTAAAAATGGGTTGTATTAGGGAATCATGAAAAATGTAACAAATCCCTTGAACATATATTTTACCTGAGACAAATTTATGCTTATTTATCAGTCTACTGAGAAAGGCCACTTTATTTATACCTGCATCTGCTATTTGGAGTTGTGTCTAAAACAAAGTTCTAAACCAAGAGCTAACATCTCTCCTGGGATTTCATTTCTTTAAGAGGAAAATAAAAGGCACTTGTGAATCTAGGTGCAGATTTTTACTTTATAACTTTATATTGTTATATTACACACAAAACCAACTCACTTTTATTCATTCTTTCCAGAATATGAAATGGGATTTTTATAATTTCTTCAAGCTATTTCTTTGCTCTAAGTTTTGCAAAATTTGTTGTGACAGCAAGATAACAAGTACAACCTGCATAAACATGATTGGGAGTAAACATAAATAGATATCAACTGATAACAGACTCACTAGAGCATAATGTGGGTATTAGCCAGTTGTGAGTTATAAAGAAAAAATCCAGATTAGATGATGAAAGTTTAAGTGGGCTAAGATAGCTTCTGTTGTACTTCTCCATTTTAATCATTTGACTCTGTTCGTTTCTCTAACAAAGAAGAGGGGGGAAATGCCTGGCCATAAAGAGGAACCATTGGGGAAATCCCAGGACATTATTTTTTCCTTCTTTTCCTGTAATTTTTTATTGTGATTTTGGAGAAAATTTGCATAGCACATTTTGTTCTCATTTAACAATTTTTATACATATTACAGTTGTCTGTGGATTATAGATGAGTTCATGGTAGTTTAAGTAAAATTTGTACACAAGTTGAAACAGTTAAGTTCATATCTAATGTTAGTTAAATATTTGTCAAAATATACTATGATATAATGTATACAGTATACCTTTCTATACATTTAAGGCACTTTGACACATACTAGAACATCTTTAACATAATCGCTCATTCATTGCCATCGAGTTAGAACTAACTCCTAAATGACTCTCCAGTGGGTTTCCAGAGGCTGTACATTGCATGGGA